TGGGGAATTCTGGGAGTTGAAGTCCACCCATCTTAAAGTTGCCAAGGTTGAGAAACCCTGTTTTAAAGGTTTTCTCCTCTTGAGGTTTGAGAGAAAGGCAGAATCAGATACTTGGACCATTGGCCTCCAGGAATGGTGAGCTTATTTTGTGAAGGATCTGGGAATTATGTATTTCTTTGTGGCCTCCATATCCACTTTTCGGCCAGTCCTAAGGAAAGGGGATAGGAAGGAAATAAGTAAGAACAAACCAAACAGCCCCAAACGGAAACAAGAGTGGCAGGGCTCTTATCAATCGTTATGTCACCATTTGGAAGGAAAGTGCACGATTCAAATCGGATTTTCAAGAAAAGACCCCATTTCCTTTGATGGAGATTATTTCAGGCTTAAAGGTCTTATTATAAAAGTAAATCAATATTTTGTGCATCCGGTTGATCTCTCCCCCCTTCCCCCCAAAAAATTCCTGATTTCAAGATAAGCTCCAGTTACCACTTGTGTTAATGGTACTAACAGCAGCAGGATTTTACACCGTGATGCTTCCCAGTAAGCTCTGTTTATAACCAGGAGTTCATTTTCGAGCCAGGGCATTCGAGGTCACCGCAGCTTGGATGGATTTCTCCAAGTAACACTTTGCTAGCGCAGGATCTCTCACGTCCAGAGATCGGCTCCAATCCGCCAGGCAAAGGCTTGGAAAAAGCAAACAAAAGACAGAAAAAGCCCCTCTTCCTGATTTTAGCCCCGGGCATTTGCAGTGGAGATTTCCTTACAATGAGTTTAACGACCTGCTTCTTCTGCCAGAGTGCAAGTTCTTGAATCCCACGGAAGATCACTGAATTCCATGGGCTTTTTTTTTTCCCTGCAGAGACCTAACAAACGCCTCGGAGATCCCAGTGGCTCAGCGACGCTGCACTTCTGCCCTCTTTAACCTGGCGGCCAGACTTAGTGGAATCAAAGGGGACTAGCTTCCAAAACGCAAGGACGTATTTGCCCATTTGGTTGTCTCGCGTTAATCGGGGATGAGATCTGGTCTCAGTACATGGGAATGATAAGCCTAGCTGATCAGACACGTGAATTCCTAGGCATCTTCCAGGCCCTTCTGTTCTCCCACCCAACAATGTGGTTGGGCGTCTAAAAAACACTGTCGACTCTTTCTAATGAGCTACGGTTTACCAAAAGAAAGGGCCGGAAATGATTTCAGCTGAGTGGGTGATAGAGGGCCAGATACGCCCTAGAAAGAAAAACGAGTTTCTCAGACTTTGCAAAGGCCAGTCCGTCCGTCCGTCCATCTCTCTCGTTTGCAGGACAATCAGTATGGCCTGTTCCTTCGAGGCAGAAAGGGGGTTAGAAGAGTCATTGGACGTTCTCTCCTTCCTCCGATTGCTGTGCCTCCCCAATGCCAGCTGCTTCAGCCGAGATGGAGAAGGCTATTATGCTTTCCAAAACCTGTTCCCACCGTTTCCAACCCATACCCAGCGACCGGCAAGGCGGGTGGAGTAGCGGTTGAAGCGCTCTTTTCCCCCTCTCCCTCTCCCTGTCCCCCCGCCCTCTGCCCTGCTCCTGTTTCGGTCCTTTTGCTCAGTCCAGAGCGCTCCTCTTGATCAACGCAATCGCTTCCCTGGGTTTCCGCGGCCTTTCTAGGCTCCCAACGAAGCCGGCAAGCTTTATTGCAACCCTGATTCAGTCAGCTCGGCTTGGATTAAGAGTGTGCGAAAAAACGCCCGGCTGTCCCCTTCCTCATTCTTTCCCCCTCTAAGCCTCCGAAAGACGACGTCTCTGGTTCCAATCTTGCTCGGCCTTTCGGAGAGCGAACTAGAGGCTCAAAGAGGACCGGGGGGTGGGGGGTGGGGGATGTTACCAGCTCGGCGGCACTAAACCGTGAATTATTTGGTAAGCCTTGAGTGACCGATAAAAATCGGTTGGGAGAGAAAGAGAGGCGATTTCCCCCCAGCCTAGAAAATGACCCACTGGAGAGTCCCACGGAGTGGAGATCTTCAGATCTTCCGGCAAGGGCTGTGGCTGGATGGCGAAATTGGCTGTGCAAATTTTCGAGAGCCTGGGGTCGCTCATTTCGATCCCAAACCCAAGACTTTGGAAGTTGGGTGCCAGGGATCTCTCCTGTCCTCTGCAGGGCCGTAGGCCTCGAGCGTGGCCACAGTGCCTTCACAGTGAGCGTGATGCTTGCTAAGTGGGGAATGGATCTCCCGTGCAGATCTCCCCGCTTCGGACCCTTCAGAGGCGTCCTTTCATCTATGGCTTTGCACAGCCCTGTCAGCTCCAAACTCCCAGACCTTGTTTAAATAGGTTTTTTTTCCTTAGGAGCCCTACAGGAGATTCCACTACAGATTATTGAACACCGCGGGTTTCCAGTGGACAGGAACCACAAGGCTGTGGTTGCTTGCTCTGAAAGAATGTTCTTCTTTCACTTTCTAATTATATTTAGGCATTTGTTGTCTTAAAAAGTGCACTAGAATAATCAAAATAT